GAAGTGCTGAGAAGACATTTAGAATCAGGTCACAAGCACTCCTGCTCCATCAGCTGATCAACCAGCATTTTATTATCAAGAACAGGTTTAAAACCAACCATACCTCAACCTTCAAAGCTTATACTCACAGGGTCTGATCAACACAGGAGCATCCTGAAAAATAATGATGTCTGGAATGCCCGGATTTTAATTTAACAGCCTGCTTTTAAAGAGTAGTTAATTAGATAATTTTAAAAATAGCTATTAAACTAGGATAGTAGAGGGGTGAGACCTGCCTGACTTTCCTTGTTAAAACAAGAAACAAACTGAAAGAAGTCAGGAACCACCTGCAAGATCTAGATTTTCCCAGAAGAGCACATTGTAGTCACTCAGCCACATCACAGGCTTTGTTTCTTCAGTTGTCCGGTAGCTGAAGTACAGTCCTGTCTCAGACTAACATAACACATACCCAAGTGCTAAATATTTGTGCAACTGAGAAATAATGCTTTAAAGAAGTGGATTTGCAAGAAATCAGTAGTGAGAGGGGTCTATACAGCAAGAACAACATGTCCTTACGGTGGTTTCAGTGACTTTATGGCTGGAAGGCATAATTGTCAATAAAGCCTCCATCTTCTGTGACACTGAACTCCAGGCTCACCACAGTATTCCCTGACACAAACACTCTCTTCTCAAAGAAATTTGATTCTTTGTGTCAAATTACGTGGCAACTCTGTCACAAACTATGTGAAGCAAATGAAAGGTCGGTTCCTTCAACCAGCCTTCCCCTACTTTTCAGTTTAACTGCATATCCTCCATTTCCTATGCAGCAGAAGAGGAAAAACAATCATTTTGTGCCTTGCCTCCCCTCTCCTCCTCATTATTTCTCATATGAAGATCTTTCTCCACGTTCCTAACAATTCTTCATTTTAACAATGCAGCTAACATTGTGTGCCCTTACCTATTTTGAACAATCAAGTCACAAAGAGACATTTTTTTCTACACGTGGTTCTTAGGCTTCCCGAGATACCTTACTTTCTGGGGGAAAAAAACACAACCCAGCATGCAGGGCATAAGTTTTCATGTAAAAGTCTGCATTGGATGTCCAGGTCTGTGTGTATCCCCTGATATATACAATAAGCCACCTCTACTTGCTGAAATTTTCCTTAGACCACGTGCAGCTGCCTTCCCTCTCACTGCATTAGAAAGAAATCTTAATGGGAGGTGGGGGACACACATCACACTTGCATGAAACACACCTCTCTAGACATTCCAGCACAGAGCAGTGCACAACTGGTGCTGCCTCTGACCACACACATTTACAGCAAATGGTTTAAGTGTCTTGGTATTTCTATCACAAAACTGCCATCCTTCCCCAGCTGATAGCAGTACAACCTGTTGCTACCACGCAGTAACAGGAAAGCTATTTCCTCAAGCCCTCTAACCAGAAATTATTTTTATACCAGAAAAATCTATTTACAAGAAGCTGACAAGACTTTCTCACTTTCTTGCCTGTTAACACATTTCCACACCTAAAAAATCTCCTCAGAAATCAGTTGGTCCTTGGAAATGCAATACCAGTTCAACTTTTACTATGAACCAAGAAAATGAAACTGATGCAAACGATAACCATCGAGAGATGCTTCTTGAGAAAAACAAGTGGTCACACTCAGTGATGGGAACTGCACCTAATTCACTGTTCACCGTGGAATCTCCGTGCCGAAAGGAAAGTAACATAACGTAAGTAAACATCTGTGGTTTTCCTTCTCAGTTATCACAGTCCCTCGACTTCAGGCTCCATTACTGTAACAGAGCCTACATGGAATCTTGAAGGTCACGCTGAAATTTCGGCTGGTGCAGCATGTTTATACAACGATCTTTCACGACAGGGCCATACTATATCTTTATTTCTGTGTGAGAATGGTTTCATATTCGTTACCAAGTGCAGTTCAGGGCATTAACTTCAAAATACAAATTCTCCTATGGCTTATCTCTCATGTACTTTGAGACACACTGGTTTTCCTGGCCTAACAGCCAGTAATACTCAGGATGGTCCAGCACACAACCACCTGATTTACCGGGTGTGGGAAGAACCACCAAAAAACCACACAGATTTTCATCTGCAAAATGATTCAGTGGGGAAGAGAATTTTAAACAATGAGCAGGCTCTGCAAAAAATTAAAAAGTTTTATAAACGTCACCTACTTAAAGATGCCTCATAGTGGCTGCTGCATCACTATTTTGAGATGCTTGGGAAGTTTGAGAGAATAAATGCAGGTGAGTTCTTTCCTTCTAGTCCAGCTTCACACTTTATATTGTTTGAAAGCTACGATTACGCAAGTTCTTTCAAATGGATGAAACATTTTTTCCCAGGTATCCAGCATGTAAACTATAATTCTTGGTGACGAAATAAAACAAAAACATTAATTTTCATTCCTATCATTACATATTCCAGACTGGGAAAGGTCAATTCCCTCAGTACCATCAAATACCCTTTTACAGCACTGGTTAGTTATGAGATATAGACTAATAAAATGGGATGTTAGTCTTTGCCATCATTATCACAGGTAACCACCATCAGCATCACCCACAACCTACAAACCAGCATTTTTGTAAGTTTGTACAAAATGCTGTTTTTTACGTAAAAAATTAAGTCACTATTTTAACACACACTCTCATTGAATCTCAGCTTCTGTGATGCTTAATTCAACAAGATTGATAATGGCTTCGACCCAGATTGCTGGTGAATCACTGGCATCACAGCAGAAGTTTCCAAAAGCAATCCTGTTCTGTTCATCTGCTTTAGCAGGAACACTTTTATATAATAATACACAAGTCTCAAGATGCCCCTAAATTAAACCTTGCCTTATTAATGTCTACAATTTCCGGATTCATACATTCATCTGTTCACTGGAACACCAGTTTTTTTAAATTATCCACATACAACCATCTCACTGTAAATTTATAAAATATTTTGCTTTGAATTAAGCTAGTCTGGATACAGAGCTGACAAAAAACCCACAAAAACAAACAAACCACCAGAAACCACACAAGTAACTTCCCACTCATCTCCATCAAGGCTCCTGCTGTTCACAGGTGATTGACAAGCTCACCACTCAAGTTTCTGGTTGTCAAAACAGACTGTACTGATGGTAACTGTGTTTCTACATTTCCCTCCAAGCAGCCTGTCAAGCTGTCTGCTTTGACAGACCCTTTTCTGGGACAGGAAGGCAAAGCTATCGACTGGAAAAGAAAAGGTGCCTGATAACGTCTTCTATTTACGTTAGTGGAAACCATAATTTCATATCAGCACTGAGTGTTAATGCACTGAAGAAAGCCACAGTGCTCCTGGTAAAGCTTAGAAACTGCCAATAAGGTACACACTGCTCCTGGAATGTGGGTTATTTATACAGCTATGAAGCCGCCTATTAGCTCCACTGACTTCCAATGCAGCAATACAGACATTTATAGCTGATAAAATTAATGCCCTCCATATCCTTATAAGACTGAATGGGGTAAAAAAAAGGTACATTCAGGATCACATTAATTTCTGCTTCATAGTACTGCTGTGTTATCTAACACCTCTGTGGCCATATGATGTGAATAAAATATAAATGGTGAAGTTAACAATTGCATTTCTCTTACAGCAGAGTCATTAGACAACAGCATTGCTAAACCAGTTACAATTATTAAAGCAGCTCAGCCACAGCCCAGGTTACTTTGAACTTTTAATAATTTCTGTAAATTTTTCATTTTTTTTTTTTTTACCCACTTCAGCCATTTTTCAATATGGCAAAAACATCCAGAAAACAGTAGCTACCAGCAGAGGGACAGGCGATTTGTCATTCACACTTGACGGAAATTAATAAAATAAGAGAGCTACTCTGAGGGAAAAGGTATGTGAAGGAAAATTCAACATTCCCAGTTCCTAGGAGGAAAAAACCCCTGCATCAGTTCCCTGTTCTAAAACAGCACAGGCCTCAAAATGGCTTTTGAGGACAAAACCTGACACCAGGACATTCCCAACCACTAAAGCACATTAAAATGCAGCTACACCACCACCACGCTCCCGGTGTGAAACCTTACCCACGCTCGCCCCGGAATCCAATGGCCAAAACAACGCCAGGGTGGAAAAATTAGTGAAAGTCAGGGGAGTTCCTGTGCGGTTTCACCACGGTTTGTCCCCACGCAGAGGGAGCCGAGGCCACCTCGCTCTTCCTTCAGGCGCCACAGACAAAAGAGCCACGACCAGGGGAGGGGGGAGGGGTGTCCCGAGAACGGGGGGTATTAATTCCCGCATCGCTGTGGTTCAACACGACACGGGGATGAGTTTTCTTATCTTTCTAGCCACGCAGAAAAACAAGAGCAGTCGCAGGGCACACACAAAAGCCGCCTGTCCCTCGGCCGCTGCAGCCAGAGGCGATGCCGCCTCTCCCCACCCACAGCCCGGACCCAGCCGCCCTCCGCCTTCCCTGCGCCGGGCACAGAGACCTGCGGTCCCTCCCCGCCTGCCCGGGGCGCTCGGAAATCGAGCCCGGAAGGAGCCTGAGGCCCGGCGAGGCACAGAACCACGGAACTGTCAGCGTTGTGAGGTACCTCTAGAGATCAGCTCGTCCGAGCGCCCGCCCCTCCGCCTCCTTCCCCGGCAAGGCGGGCAGAGCCCTCCCGCCCCATTGTTCCCTGCACCCCGCGGCGGAGCCGGCGCACTCACCACACGGGCCGGGCTCCCCGCAGCGCCCACCGGCCCCCTCAGCTCCGGCACACGGGGGCTGAAGCAGCGCCCTGCTGCTCCTCCGGCAGTACCCGCGGGCCCCGGGGCAGCGCCGCCATCGCCCGCCGCCGCCCCACCGCCGCCGCTCCAGCAGCGGCCATCTTGTGCGTCGGCTGCTCCGCTCACCGCCTCCCTCCTTCCCTCCCTCCCCGCATCGCCCTCCCCTTCCTGCGCCCTCCTCCCCCGAGCAGCCGGGGCGGGGCAGGGAGAAACAGCCGAGTCACGGGCTGGAGCGCCGTGAGGGCTGGGCAGGGCAGGGCTGGGCGGGGGAACTGTCACCCATGGCCGGGAGGGCGTCTGGCGGTCTGTGAGGGCCGGTATACCTCCCCTTTGCCCTCTCTCGACATTTTGGGGTGTTTTTCGCTCTATCACCTCATCTTCTCATCGCTAGCGGGCTCAGACGGGCATCGGGGTGGAGGTCGCGGCTCTTCACACGCCGAGCGCCGCCTGAGGAGTGCTCTGTGTGTTGGGAGCCTCCCGAGGGCCCCCGCCCGCCATTTTCTCTCCCTCAGGATGCTCCTGTGTTGGCGAGCGCTGCGGTTTCCCTCATCTTCCCCGCTGCGACTGCCTCACGCCAACACACCTAAGAGCTTGAGGCTGGGTAATTTTCTAACTTAAAGGGAAAATAACACAAATTAAGCTGTTCCCGCTTAGGCGGCCGTTCAGGGTAAAGCCCTCGCCGCTCTGCCCACCAGCCCCAGGGGAAGGAGCAGAGCTGGACTCGCTGCTGGAGAAGGTCCCCCGTAGCTTTATTTGCTGCAGGACCCACTGAAATCATCCTCAGCTTTAACAACACCACAGGTAAGATGTTTGGGGACCCACCAAACCTTCCGGTATGCCACTATCACAAATAGCTGAAATACTGAAGAAATTTTAAATCCTTATAAAATGCCTTACGGGTATTCATAATGACTCGTAGCATTTACTTAGCACTTACCGACTGATAGTTTTAAAATGTTACGAGAGCTAATTATTTGCCATCAGGTTATTTGAAGGTAGCATCGACCTGATGCCCATTTACAAGAATGTGAATATGGTGTAAAATACTAAGGAATTTATCCACATGTGTTTTCAAATTAAAGACCAAAAATAGTGTTTAGTGTCCCCGTCTTACTGCCCAGGTGTTTTGTCATGTCTGGGCCCAGATCTGTGGGATCAATCCTGGCGTGAGGCCACTGTGTGGGATGCTGGGTATGGAATCACTGCATTTCTATTTTCAGTTATAACACCATGAGGAGCACACAGTGTATTATCAGTTCAATATCCGAACTGCAGCGTCGCATGAGCTCAAAATGCAATTTAAACAGAGCAACATCAGGTCAGAAGTATCCAGGCCCAGAGCCAGAGACCCAAGACAGCAACGTGCAAAAGGAAGCTGGGTCATGACATCCAGATAGAACGTAGAAATAAATCACAGAGCTAAACTCCTACACACAAGGAAAAACTACACAGGGGGAGGTTACTCTTCAGCTCCTACTTCTGACTCTTGCACTGACCACAGACAGATTTTCATGTTAATTTTACAGGAAATGTGATGGTAGTAAGTATCCATTTTACTGTAGAAATCATCTCTATTATTTAGGTTTGTCCACCAAAACAAGCCTAGTGCTTATCAAGCTTAAATAACATTGTTAAGAACAGCTATTAATTTATGAAAGCTGACTTTTCTTACCATATTTTCTTACCACCAGAAGGTAACATATACCACCTTTAACTTAGCAAGAGCCTTAGTGTGAGTTACAAAAGAAGTGTAAATTGGAAGTGTTCAAGGCCAAGCTGGATGGGACTTAGAGCAACCTGGTCTAGTGGAAGGTGTCCATGCCCATGGCAGGTGGTTTGGAGCCAGAAGAGCTTTAAGGTGCCTTCCAACTCAAACCATTGTACGATTCTATGATAAATTGGGAAGTTTAACGTGGAAATGTCAGTCTTAAGCATTATGACTATTTTATTGTTGCTTCAAAAAGATTAACAGGAAAAATTTAAAAATCCAGCAAGAGAAATCTAAAACAAGCAATGTAAACATCAGAATCCTTAGTACCATTGTCACAAAATTAAATAGCTGAATGAACAGTTTAATCAAGAATTTTATACTTACCCAGATTTGTAAGTTGGAGATGATCACACATTAGTACATTATTATATTTTTATCATTTTATTGCCATTGTAATACTTTCTACAATGCCTCAATGAAACCTTCATACGACTTGTTCTTAATGGCTGTATAAATAATGTAAGAGTCTTTGTCCTGAAGCACCATCTTTCATATAACCAACTGGCAAACTGCAGTGTAATTTTTAAAAATTTAAAAAATAAAATTCAAATCTGAATCATTATACGCTTATCTAATCAGTCCTCTCTCTTGGAAATGACCTATTAAACAGTATCTTTGTACATTTTTTTAGATCAATTTAAGTACTCTCTTCACCCTATTACTCTAATTTAAAACTGTACATACCTGCCAGAAGGCAGGGTTAGACGGGATATTAGGAAGAAATTCCTCCCTGTGAGGGTGGGGAGGCCCTGGCACAGGCTGCCCCATCCCTGCAAGTGTCCAAGGCCAGGTTGGACGGGGCTTGGAGCAGCCTGGGCTAGTGGAAGGTGTCCCTGCCTGTGGCAGGGGGTGGAATGAGATAGTCTTTAAGGCCCCTTCCAACCCATACCAGTCTGAGATTCTATACCACAGAAAATTTCCAATCAGCAATAGCCATCCTTTGCAGACTCCTCTCCTAAATGTTACACAGAAATGTGACCCTTGCTGGAGTTATCAGTGTTGTGAGCAGAAGCAGAAGATGGCAGTAGGGGCTAAAATGGCCGGTGTTCTTTAAACCTTGGTTTAAAGTCACAGAAACTAGAAATGGTCAAGGCCTGAGGACATCCTGATACTTCCTAGTTTCTAGCACGTAGTGTTTTGTTCAGTCTGGGTTTTAATAATCCAGTCTGGAGACTTCTCCCACTTTCTATACTTGGTTCCTGTGTATTGTTCCTGTATTGTGGAAAGCTTTTAGTTTTCAGGCAGTTTATGTTTTCCCTCAGCATTTAATTCCATCACCAGTATTAACACACTAACAGTAATTTGCAGTATTACAACATAGGTTACCACAGTTGTTGAAATTTAAAGAGGTGGGATCTGAAATGGCCTATGGTTCTTATTATGTAACACTGCAACTTTAGTTCTCAAACCCCATCTTACACCTCCATCAGTCATACTTTTCTAATGCTTCTAATGCTTATTCTTTATTCTGTTTTCTAGAAGTTCAGAAATTTGTAGGTGAGCTTGTTCTCTCCTCGGGAGCTGCTCCCGTGAGGTATCTAGATTAGTTTTAATGTCCGCTTTCCCCAGTTACACAGCATTTCTTCCTGCATGACATGCTTAAAAACCCACAGGAGTGAGTTTGGTTCTACCACATATAGTCTAAATTTTAAATTCCTTTTTTTCTTTTGTTTTTCCATCCAAGAGGGGATAATGTGTAAGCATGGTTCTAGGATTTGACGTTTGTGGCCACTCTAGTAATGTTCTTCAGATTACGCCTTAAAAATGACTCCTCATTTTAGCCTGTATGACCGAGAGAAATAGGTAAAATACCAGTATAACTGTCGAATGGTGTCATCTCACCATTCAATTTTTATACTGCTCTTTCATATAAAACTGATACAGAACTGTGCTACCAGAATAGCTGTCTTTATAAAAAAATGCAGAATTTTTAAAATGTGTTGGCAGTGTTTCACTTTGCTGTTTTAGTTACCAACGTGAGCAGTAAAGCTGATAATAATGGAAAAATTCTCATTTTGAAACCTGTGATATCAGAATGAAAGACAAGGATGACGTATTTTTCCAGGTGTATGTAAAAGTATGTAAAAAATGTCCTTGTTAATTCACACAGCCAAGATGTGTGAATGTAAACTACCAAGCATGTAAACCACAGATAACAAAAAAGAAAATCTTTAGCACTTGTATGTGCTTGACCATCTTGTTAACAAAACCTAAATTCCTGCACTTTTATAAAATCCCACTGACAAAAGCAGAAGACCATATCTGTCCAACGTAATCATTTCAAAAAATTCCAATATTTATTAAAGAGTATGCTGAATATCATCCAAGTCCATGGGATGCAGATGCAACTATTAGAGGTTGTTATATGTGCTTATTTGAAAACAAGAGGATGGTAGCAAAGTAGAGCCTTCCTCTGTGGAAGGACATGTTCAGTGTCTCCACCATAAGAGGCAAGATTTAGATTTCCTTTGTGCAAGAGAATCCTGAAGGATCTACAGGAATGTAAAGTGCATATATGTAAAATCAGAGTTCCTCCATGACTGCTTCTCTCCCAAACATTCAATTTGCAAACCTGCCAAACATCTCATTGAAAACTTTTTACAGTTCTTTGATGCTGTACATAATAAATTTGCAAACTCTCCGTGCAGTTATTAATGTTTGTATTTTCAGGCTACTTGGAATGCAAAAGATCTATGTAAATATACCCTCTGGTTGCAGGTGCTGTGTGTGGAAAAAGAAGAAATTATAAGGGAGGTAATAAGAAACCTCAATGATTTCTCATTAGAAGTTTCACTTACTTAACTGTCCCATCTCCTCCTCCTCCTTCTCCCACTGGTGCTTAGGGATGCAGAATGCTGGCTCAGGGGTATATGCCCCAGATTCTCATTTGCTACTTACTGCCTTTTTGCTTACATGTAATTCCTGCTTAGCTTCAATCCCAGAGCTTCCACTGTCATTTAATACATCTCTCTCTGTGTGACAAAAGTTTTGAAGCAATATAAAGTACAAGAATTTGCAGCATAGCAGGTGTGTAGGCCCACCAGGCAGAGCAAGGCACAGGCACAGAACCACAGCACATCCCTGTTGTTCTGGTGCCCTCTGCTGAAATCACCATCTGCTTGGCTTCTGAATCACCTCCAGGCAGAGGCAGCAGCCAAGTGCCATGTGCTGCCACCTCTTTATCTTGCACTTCCTTGATTTATTTCCTTTTCTATTTATTCTGTCTTAACAGAAAAGCACAGCTACAATCCTTTATTTCCTTTCCTTCTTCCAGTGGTACTTAGATTGAAACTAGTTCTTTTCCTTCATAACACTGCTGCATCACATTTTACAACAGCCTTTTATTGAGCTTAGGAAGGTAATAGATGAGTTGAGATGCTAAACTATTCAGAAAATTACGTTTTATAAGAATTCCAGTGTGTGTGTATGTGCATAAAACCTCAAACCGCCTAAATTAGCAATGTAATTTTTGTTCCTTTCTGGCAGATTTCCTTGCGTACAGTGAAACCGGGGGAAATAAGAGACAGAGAGGGCGATACAGCCAGCACAGTTTCTCTCCAGCAATACCTTTGTTTAGCTGCATGTAAAACCACAGCCTTACTCTCACTTTGCAGGGGAAGCTGAATTGTAAAGGTTAAGAAACTTCTCAGGTTCACAAAGCAAGCAGTGGCAAGATGAGGAATAAACCCACGGTCTGGCCTCCTGTTCGAGCCACTAGACCTTGTGTTCCTCCACACTCATGCAAGTTACAGTAAATGCATTATGAGTAAACTGCGGGGTGAGTAATTTTTCCAATTGAATTTCCCAGGGAAAGCACTCTTACTACAAGAAAAAAGTAGGACTGTCTTACATCTCTGTAGTCACATCCCATTTCTGCAGTAAAGGAAAACATGCTGATGATTTCCTGGAGTTATCCTTGCTTAGTATCCCCCATAAAGACTCCAAGTTTTGTACTGGCTTGTTTGAGAACGCCTGATACAAGACATCCCTAGTGCATCTTCCAGCAAATGGGACTGTCAGTTCCCACAGGAAAATCAAGGACCAAGCTTAGCTTCTCCTGATGTTATGAATATCTGCATAAAGCAAGTTTAGGTGGTTTTATGTTAGTGTGGATCTCAAGTAGCTGCTTATTCAGATCTCAGTTCTAGCAGTTTTTAAAAAGTATGTTGTTCACATTATTGCAGAGAGACATGTTTGATACCTCATCTCTTAGTGGGATTTCAGAAGAGACTTGTAAAAAAAAATATCTCATTTATAATATATATTTATATAATATATACTATAATATATTATATATCTATATTATATATCTAATATGTAACATGTATTATGTATTCTATATTCTGTATATATGTAGTTCCAGTATATGCTTGAGAAACAGTTCACAAAGAGATTATTTTCACTGAGAACATGTCAAATTTGTTTAGATGGGCTGAGGTTATTTTTTGGAGATCATTCTGTATGGTAATTTTTGTTATTCTTTTACCAGGTTCTACATATCATGTCTTCTCTGACAGGCCCATTCTCATGCACACAAACTCCTATCTTTTTGATAAGAATTTCCTCCTCCACTTTTGAATTTCTTCTCAGCACAGTATTCTCAGTTTCCTCTCTCTCGTTATTGTGCTGGTAAAAAGCTGTTACACGCCATTCCAGCAGTTCAATTTCAGCAGGAAACACTGAAATTTCTGAATTGTAAATGTACACTACAAATGGTTCTTGTTGTGTATGTTCTTCTGGTTTTGGTAAATTGTCACCAAGAATTACATCATTAATCCTAACCTTTAAGGATTTTTTTTTTGAATTTGACATTTCAACTATTGATTTGATTTTTTAACTTGCTTAAAAAGAACACCGGTTTTGTAAAAAGAAGTTGATATCTTTCATTGTTAATAAAAGATTCTTTCAAGATTGCTTGAAGGCTTCAGTAATGTAACATGTCATATGATGCTGCCTACTCTTCTTTGATTCCAGCAGGTGAAGGAGGTGTCATTTACAGAAGAAGAAAAAGGAAAATCACTAAAGGGAATCAGTAAGTTGAATGAAAAATAGTAACTAATAGTGGAATTGACTCTCGTTTCCAGACAGGAAGAGATAAGTGTTTGTGGTTTTGCTAGTTAAGTATTTTTGGTGTTATTTTTCTACATAAGCAATTGATATAATTGCTAAAGAAACAACAGTGAAAGGATCAGAACATCCTGTGGGCACAGATGGAGCTTGCACTGTGTATACATTTTTAAGATATTATATTCATTTAATTTTAGCAAGAGTGTCATCAGTTTCTGAGAGATGAATGGGTATTTTTTACGTGCTCATTAAGGCACATGGAAGGCTGCAATATGGGCAAAAGTTGTAGCCTGTTCACAAACCCCAACTCTTTTGAGAAGCACTTTCTTGTTCTCATACATGAGGCTGCAGGATCTCCAGTCTTATTGTCCCCAATGCTTTTGGGGGCATTGATGTTCTGGGGGCTCTGCTGGGCAGACATGTGCTACCTGAATGAAAAATAAGAGCTAAAAAGTAAGTTATTCATCTTCCTTGTGAAGTCCTCAGTCTTTACAACCTGACTGTAGTTGGACTTCAGCAATTTGATATCAGAAGGTTGTTTATGTGGCAGTTTATCACTGTCTCTCACAGGCAGTAGTTTTTCTTATCATTGTTTCCATTAACACACAGAACTCTGCAAAAAAAAAAAAAAAAACAAAGGAAAAAAAGGAGTGTCCTCTATTTTCATACAAAACTCCATCTTCTCCTTGAATTTCCTTCCACAGGAAGCACATAGGCATGTATGCACTTACTTGCATATTAAATAGACAAGATAAAACTGTTTCTACCCTGCAGAGATGAATTAAACATTGAAAAACAGTGGAGGGCAAACACGGTCATTCACTGATCTCTGAGGTGTAACAGCTACAACTCGCAAGGTTTTTGGAAGTTATCTGTTACAGTAATCTACTATTATCAGACAAGAACTGCTTGGTTGCTCTTCGTTTTTCATCTTTTCTCTGAAGCCCAAGAGAGATTAGTGCTCTATTAAACTTGAATCCCATACCCATTGCAGCTCAGCTGCCTTTTCAGGTGTCAGATCTTACAACAGCCAAGTGATGCATCTTTTCCTCAGAAAACAATTTCTCACACAACTTCCAATTTTCTTATTCTGCAGAACTTGCAGAAGAAGGGGTTGCTTTGAGGGTCAGGGGTTCTGTCACAGATTCATTAGGAAGTATAGTGTACATACACTGACAACAGGGAAGGCTTTATCTTCCCATGTAAACACAGACTTCCTTGCTTAGTCCTTATACCTTGTAGGGCTTCCCAAATGAAGCCTCCAAATTGCAGGTTACCACAGAAGAGCTGAAATAGGATGGACCCCATCTCTACTTACCAGTAGGACCAAGAAAACAACCTTTGAATTTTCTGGTTGATACAGGAACTCAAATGTCTCTGATGACCCCCATGGATACTAATAAATCTGACAAAAAACATTTTTTCTAAAAAGGTCTCAAAAGGATGGATATCTACTCTAACTTAAGTTTGTTTACATAGTGTGAAGAACCTCGATCAGTATTGTTAAGATACTAGATAATTTGAGTAAGATTTTGATGGCTTTGGTTAATATTTGTATATATTTTGTCTCAATAGTTTTGCAATGTGTATATACGAATTTTCCACAAGCATTGCTTTGGAATGTTTGTGCCTTCTCTCTGGTTGCCACAGTGGATGGAGAAGATTCCTCCCTGAATTTGGATGATTATGGAATCAAGTTTTTGTCCTTCTTCCTACCTCCTCAGGGGCCTCATAGCCCCCATATCCATCACAGCCCCTACAGAGTCACAGGCTCCAAAGCCCTCATAGACCCTGGAGTCCCTATAACCATTATAGCCTTCAGAGCCCCCATAGCTCTCACAGTCCTCACAACCCCCATAGCCCTCACAGCTCCTATAGCCCTCACAGACCCCATAAACCTCACAGCCCCCATAGCCCCCATAGCTCTCAAAGGCCGTCACAGCCCCTATAGCCATTACAGCCCCCATAGCCTTCACAGCCCTCTTAGCCCTGATAGTTCTCATAGCCCTCACATTCCCTATAGCTCTCACAGCCTCTATAGCCCTCACAGCCCCTATAGCCCCTCATAACCCTTAAAGCCCCCATAGCCCTCATGACCCCCACAGTGCTCACATCCCCCATATGCCTCACAGACCCCACGGCCCTCACACACCCTGTAGTGGTAACAAACCTCAAACCATCAGAGCCCCCACAGAGCTCACAGACCAAGTAGCACTCACAGTCCCATAAGCCTCAGAGCCCCTGTAGCCCTCACAGCCCCTATAGCCACCATAGCTGGCAAAGACCCTAGAGCCCTCAAAGAACCTATAGACCTCAAAGCCTCCATTGCCTTCACAGACCTCACAGCCCCCATGACCCTCTATAGCTCTCAAAGTCCTCAGAGCCCTTATAGCCCTCACAGACCCCACAGCATCTTCAGGACTTTTATCACACCTCAGGATACGAAGTAGATGAGGAATTAAGTACACTAAAAAAAAGCAACTCTCGTGAAGTGTTTTAGCTGGAGAGTCCATTATGCTGCAAAAAGTTATTTCCAGGTTCAAACAGATGTGCTGGTTATGAGTATTCACTTCTCTTGTATACATACGGACTGCTCTCTTTACACAAAGTCTCTTATTTTTCTAGGCTTGGATATGTCTCAGATTTTTCAGATGTCCAACTGAATTCCCTTCAGTTGCGCTCCAGTACGACTCAAGGTCAAGTTGTGCAGGCTCCTGGTAGTTCTTTGTGTTCTCCTGGGAGATCTCTGGAATTGAAAGGAGGTGCCCAAAACTGAGCTCTGTTCTTCACGAAAGCCTTTTTTGAGCTCAGTGGAGCAGAAGAATTATTTCGCTCTCGTCTTTTACAGCCTTTTCCTACGTTTCAGTAGCATAGTCACATTTTTTGTGGTGACTCATTTTCTATTTGTGAACTGCTATGAACCAAGATTTTCTGTAAAGTGACTGCTTTGCCACTTTGTCTTCAGCTCACAGTTTTGCAGCCAATTATTCCCAGCTATATGTAACAGTTTCTCACCTTATTGAATTACATCCTGTTTAGTTCAGATCTTTGTTCCAACTTGTCATGATTTGTTCAATTCTAATTACATCTTCCAAAATGCTTAGAGCTCCCGCCTGAACAGGATATCCTTCACAAATATGATAAAAATATTCCCTACCCTCTTGCCTCACAGAAGGAGTTCAGGACTTGGGATGTGAGCATATGGAGGACTCTCTGCAAACTTGACACTATTTCTAAGCGCCATTTTGTAACCATTTCACTTAAGTGTTGTGTAGCCAGCTTCTTGACCTTGCTTCATCAGAAGCCTTGCTTCAGTCAAGGTTCCATAATTTGCTTTTTTTTTGATGTTATGGTTGATTATTATTCAACTTATCATCTGAGGCCTTACAAATAATTTGCAATTAATTTACAAGTAATTTCTTCCAGTATTTTGTCTGATACAAAATAAAGGTGACTGGCCTAGGGTAGGCACTATTTCCTTTTTGCTGGTCTCATGGAACCTCAGCTGTCTTTTTGGAGTTCTTGAAAGGAATTGCTAATAGCTTGGAGATTACTTAACCATTTTTCTAAATGTGTTGTCTAAAATTGCAGATTATTTTTGTAAGCATCCTACTTAAATAGATTGTTTCTTTCCTTAGTTTAGCTTGATCATTGGTTTGCATGTTGTTAACATGTGCTGGGTTTGGCTGGGATAGAGCTAATTCTCTTCACAGTAGCTGGTGTGGGGCTGTGTTTTGGGTTGGGTATATTCTCTTCCCTTGTTAACCACCTGGTTACAGCTGACATTTTGGTAAAGAGCAAAGCAAAAACCATGAGGCTTTGGTTTTCCTCAAATGACTTGGGAACACTTTCCTTGCCCAGCTGAGAGCAAGTCCTTCCCCAACAATCTTTCACGTAAGCTTTTTGTTTTTACTCTCCATGGCTTCTTGACAGTTTTAGCTTATATTGTGTGTTAATCTTTGTGTTGTTGATTGTGAGAAATAGAGACCCAAGGCCGGGTAATTTCCAGTTTGAATTTATTATATGATAAAAGCAAATTCAGCACTGGGTGATCAGGGGGGAGTTTGAGCAACTCTGAATGCCTGTCACACCCAAAGCAGACAGTGTTCTATATTTATTCTCAGCTACTTCATGAATATTCATTATACATAAGCATAAACATTACACATTGTTATGTCAGGAATTCAACAGATGTTTTTCTTAGACAGTGTATATACATACAAGCATCAATATATATTGTTAAGTCAGACATTCAACAGATGTTTTCTTAGACTTAGCTTGTTATCTATACAAAGTTATAAATTTTCAAGAAAGGTGTTATTATCTAGTTAACTAAACGAAGTCTCCTCACTATAAATTTTGTACAAGGTAAAAGGGAGGTAACTTGTTTTATGTCTTTATAGGGGCCCAATTAAGTTTTGTGATTTGTTTTTCTTTTCTCTCTCTAGGTTATATTGACCTTATGCTGTTTTCTTTTTAATTAGCTCAAATCATTCCCTTAGTTTATTAGATTCATTTTAATAATTTAACCTAGATTTTGCTTTTTTAAAAGGGGCAAGCCATTGAAATGTTTCAATTTAAACAGACTCTTCCCTTCCTTTCTTGCTTTCTCACTGCAGGGGTCTAGTTGCAGCCTTGATGTTTGTTGGAAATAAATAGGATGGTTTTATTACAAGCAGGGGTTTCCATGGCTGCCTCATGCCGGGGCACTTGGGAGCCATTTTGTTTGAAGGACTGGGGAGCCATTTTGTGGTTGGAGACTGGTGGACAGCTTGTGGTTCTGCTTGAGGTTGCTTATTGCTGCTGCCTACCTGCTGCTACACACAGTTCTGCTTAGGGTTGCCTATTGCTCTGCTTATAGTTCTACCTGCTTACTGTCACTTACTGTTCTGTTTGCTTACTGTTACAGTGTGAGGGCGAGCCTGGAAGAATGTAAGGTGGTGAGAGCAGCCTGGGCTCACTGCAAGGGAACCATGCGGCCTGGGTGGGGAAACAACCTGACAGGTGGATGAGGACAACCAACAGGCTGCACCAGAAAGCAAAGCTCACCTTTTAAGGAAGAAAAGAGCGAGGGCTGGCATGGGAGGAGCAAGGGAGTGGCTATGTTAAATTGAAGGGTCTTAAAAGGTCTTGTCCCTCCCATCTAGGTGTGCTCGAGCTGGGTCACAAGTTCGATGCACCCAGTATGCTGTTAAATAAAGTTCCTTGTTTCACTTTATTTGGCCGTCTCTGAAATTTTAATTAGAGATATTTCTCACAGTGTTGATTCTTTGGGAAATGGAAAACTGTCCAGAGAGTGCTTTTCCTTAATTTTCTACAGCGGGGTTTGCCATTCAAACTTTACTGGAACTTATTTTATTCAAGTTCATTAGTTTGACTAATCCCTTTTGAAGAACCATTAACTTAATGACCATTGACACCTCTGCAGCCTCCCAAATTCCTTTCAGAGCAGGTGCCATGCTATTTCAAATTCCTACACTTTGGATGATTTTAGTCAAATGAAAGCACCATGCACTTCATGTTTTTCATTTGTGTGTTGCTAATGGATCTTTGCTGTGACACTGTTCTTTTCCTTTTTACCATTATTAAAATATTGTCACTCACTCTGTACCTGACATTCCTTTTTTCCTACCTAGGCTTCCTGAACAAACTCTCCATTTCGATAACAATAACCGGTGATGATAATTTATTCATAATTCTGGTTGTGAATATAATGACTTTCGTTTTCTCCTGTTTTTTACCCACATTATACACCAGCGTGCAGCACCTGAGCACAGTGCTAGGGAGACTTTTTTTTTATTATTCCTCGATTTTAATATTCAATAAAATCATTTTCCTCTTCCCCCCCCAATTCTTCTTCTTTCCCCATGCTTTCGTGGTTCATCTAAACCCTGTGGTGTGATAAGAATAATCTGAAGATAATTTAATTTACAGCAGCTGCAGACAAATGGTAACAATAACAAAGTGGCAGACTGGTCAAACAGGCCTGATTTTTTTCTCGTTTGTCTGCGTGCCTTGCTAGCTTTGAGACAGGTTTGTTATAGCAGCACAGGGCAAAAAAGACCACATAACAAATAAACCTTTATTGAAGGCTGTGGGCTGACATTCCTTAAGGTTTTGCTGATCCACACGTGAAATGGGGAGAACTCAGACAAGCTGTGTGAATGTTGTGGTTAATTTAAATGTAATTTGTTTCACACACAAGATAAAAAAAAAAGAGAGGGGGGAAAACCCCCAACAAGACAAGCTTTCATTATATAAACATATTTATTTAAACATAAGCAATGATGATACTTAATTAAACATAGACATATATTCACTATTTAATCATTTGTTTAACCATACCAAACCAACGTTGATAAGCAAACACAATCTACCACCTGGTGAGACTGGGGTACAAAATCCGAAGGCAAACATAAGAAAGTAATTTTTTTCTGAAGTGCACCGTGATTTATGGGTTGCTTCCATTGTCCTTCACTTGTGGGCGAGGATTTTGACACGTTTGGGTTCTCACTGGATGCTTTCAGAGGGGTGGGAGAGAGGCGTTGTCAAAAGCAGTGTGGACAGCAGGGGAGGGGGGATTGTGCCCCTCTCAGGTGAGACCCCCCTGCAGAGCTGCTCCAGCCCTGGGGAACAGCACAGCAAGGACATGGAGCTGCTGGAGAGAGTCCAGGGGAGGCACCAAGATGAGCAGAGGGATGGAGCAGCTCTGCTGGGAGGAAAGGCTGAGAGAACTGGGATTGTTCAGCCTGGAAGAGAGAAGCTTTGGGGTGATTGAATTGTGGCCTTGCAGTGCCTAAAGAGAATTTACAGGAAGATGGAGAGAGACTGTTTGCAAGGGCCTGAAGTGATGGGAGAAGGGGGAATGGCTTCACACTGACAGAGGGCAGAGTAGGATATTAGGAAGAAACTCTTCCCTGTGAGGGTGGGGAGGCCCTGGCAAAGGTTGCCCAGAGAAGCTGTGGCTGCCCCTGGATCCCTGGAAGTGTTCAAGGCCAGGTTGGACGGGGCTTGGAGCAACCTGGGCTAGTGGAACGTTGGCAGGAGGTGAAACGAGGTGGTCTTCAAGGTCCCTTCCAACCCAAACCATCCCGTGATTCCACGGTTCCGTGTTCCAGACGGGGCACTCCCGGGGGACGCACAGTGCCCCAACACCCCCTCGGGGCCGGCAGGCGCTGCCCCCACTCCGCGGCACCCCCGGCTGAGGGCGGGGCCGCCCCTCCCCAGCTCCCGCCCCTGGCCGTGCGCGCGCACCCGCCCGCCCCTGCCCGCCGCCGGAGTGTGGCCGGCGCTGTCCCGGCCCTGAGGCGGCTGCGCGGCCCCGCCGGGCTGGAGGCGGCGGTGGCGCGGGGAGCGCGGCTCGGTTGCTCCGGTGAGACACGGGAACGCCGCCTCAGGCCTGCCCCGCCGGGGCGAGGGGAACGGGGCGGGGGGTGGTACGTGAGGGGCCGAGGCGGGGAGGTCGCCTCTCCCTCAGGAGCCCCGGCGCGGGGGAAGAGGGATCCTCCGGCCCGCCCCGTGTGACGGGTGACAGCGGCCGCTGACCTGCGGTGGTTCCGGGCCCTCAGGACGGCGGAGGGAGGCGGGGGCGCGGGCGATGGTACCGCTGCCTCGCGGTGTGCCCTGTTTGTGTGTTTTGGATGTGTGTGTGGGGAGTGCCCTGGAGCGGCGCCGCTCCGGGAGCAGCGGAGCCGGAGCGGAGTGCGGGGTTCGAAAAATAAAGTTGTTTTCGTGGTGAGGGAAGGGAGAGCGCCGTGAAAATGCTCATCTGCCTACCTCCTCCTCCTCGGGAAAAGTGAAGTCACTTCCCAAGAGCCCAAACTAGCAAACTGCTGTCCTAAATCTGTGCCGTCTGCCACGTCTTTTTTTTTTTTTTTTTTTTTTTTTTTTTTTATTTTGGGTTTTTTTCTATCTGTATTTTTTTTTCCAGCCCCCTTCCACAGTTCGGCTCTCCCTAACCGTGAACCGGTACAAAAGTCCTTGTCTTGAGATAAAAATAATTGAAAACCTGCTGAAAGCACGTGAATGGTGAATTTCGGAGAATTTCCTGGTGTGTGAGTTCCTATGTACTTTATTTCTGCTGTAGCTTCCAGAGCTGTGCTGTTGAAGCTGCCTGGTTTTGATAGTGTTGTAAATAAGTCATAGCCTGCCACATTTCACAGCTGCCTGCATGTGTGCATCCATCCTTTTGCTTAGGAGTGGGGGAAAAAAAAAAGATTTAAAGTGTCAGCTCTTCAAGGCTGAGAAAAATCCAGCAACAAGTAAGAAATAGTTTGCTTAGGTAAGCGTTGCTTTTTTCTGTCACTATCAAGCTCTAGTCTCACAATCATGTTGGTTTTCTTCTAGAACTTTGGGGAGGCCAGCTGTGCTTTCCATTTCCAGAGAGAGACCTTTGTGATGTTACAGGCAACATTTGCTCATCCCTTTAATTTCAGGAAAGGTACTGTTGGCTTTGTTTAACTAAATCTCTCTGATATGGACCAAAATCCTAAGTGTCCTGGGACTGACTCAGCTCATCTTATGACGGTTTACTAGGGGTTTAAGGTTAGTTCTGCAAGTCATGGCTGTGCCTAGGTTTTAAGTAGGGTTGTAGCCAACTGTGTTTGTGGGTTAGATGATGTGATATGATTAAGAGGTTAGTTTGCAGTTTAAACTTGAAAAGACTGTAAATACAGTTACAGCAAGCACAAATTGACTCAGTGTTCTAAGAATTGAAGCTAAATTCGAGAGTTATTTGGGGGTGCTCTGCAGTGTTTGCCTTAAGATGGTTACAGTGAAATGTATTGTTTGGTTAAAAACAGCTTTCGGTCCTTTAAAAAGTGATTCACTTATTAAGATTTAATGTTAGTACGTGGCTTTCTGTGTTCCTGGTGTACTCCCTAACATTTGAAGACAGTCTGAGTTGTGGCTGCCCATTCTCTTCTGTCATCAAAGGGACTTCCAGGAGGTGAGTTAAGAGAACTAATCGGGTCAAAAAGTAGTACTTTTTTTTCTTTTTTTCTTTTCCTCTCTGAGGTATTCTTTGGTTAGAACAACTTCCTGCCCCAGCTGGGTCCTCATTTTATGGTCAGTAAGTTAACAGCAGAAGACACTACTGCTAAAATAAGCCACCTTGTGTTTTTGATTGACTTAAGCTGCTTGTGGTGAAGGTAGCAATGATAATAAGGGTGGTAGGAACTCTTTTTTTTTCTGCCAGTACTGACTTTGATTATGAAGCCTTAGTGTCATTTTTTACTTACTCTCATCAAAATTAAATGGACTGAAGAGCCACCACTGTATCTCTGTTTTTCTTCCAAGAGTCCACAGAAGTTGCTGTGGTTTTCTTTGCTCTCCTTTGCCTATCCTTTCTTGTCTCTAAACTTTTTTGTGAGTCATTAATTTCAAGGAGTGATCTGGGCATTTTGAGGGGTTTTTGTAAATTTATTGAGCTCTAATTTAAAAGTAATGAGTTGTATATTGCTATTACCTCTGCTATAATTGGAAGGCTATTTCAGACATGACTGACCTTAGTAATTACACACATTCTGATTTCCAGTCTAGATGAATTTGTCATTGGATTATACCCATTTTTTGCCCCCTGTGGACTGATATATTTTATTGACACTTTTGATCTTGGTATTATTAAAAGAAAAAAAAGGCAACGCTTTTAACCAGTAGGATGCAAAAATGTGTGGAAATGCACCACTGCAGGATTGTTTTCTCTTTGGACCACCAGCTTCACTAATCGTTCCTGTAATAGCTCTCAGCCTCTTCCCATGAATTTTAATCTTGATCTATTAAGTGACAATTAAAATACACCTTTCGAGTACTAACATAGAGCTTCCTGAAGCTCTGAAGGTGTCCTTTTAGTGGAGGTTAAGTTATTTTCAAGCATATTTTGATAAGATGTGTTTTTTGAGATTCATACCTTCGGCAGTTTGCTCCAGCCTCAGTCTTACCCTTTTATTCTGGTACAACTGTTAAAGGAGCCGTTATTGCAAAGAGCTTGAAAACTACTTATTTCACCTTGTTCTTGTATTCCTAACTTTAAAAAGAAACAAAACCAATGCATAGATTATTAAAAAACACCTCTGTGGCTTTTAAGGTGTATATTTAATTTTGATATCAGAAGTGTTCCCAGAGGGGACTTTGTGAAGCTGAAAAAGTAGTTTGTTAGGTGTGACTGTTTGTAAGCAGGAGATAAATACATCAGTTGGGTTCCAAAACCTACTTAGTTAAATAGATCACTCTGAAAGATGAGTGAGGCCCTCGTGGAAAACCTCTATTATATTGTGTGCTTGGTGGAATTTTTCTTACTCTTTGGAAATAGTAGCAGGGACAAAAGTCTTTGGACAGAGGAAAACATAGTTTTTGCCACAAAGTGAGATGGGGCACAGCCCTCTGATTTCCTGCTCTAAACACCCCAGTATCCTGAGTCAGGATATTGAAAAAGATGTGAGTTTTTTAGATCAAGTAAACTTAGAAGTGCAGAATTGTCCTGATGCTGAAAACATGTTCCCTGGTTGTTGGGGAAGCACAGCAGTACAGAGGGAAAAAGTTCTGAGGGCAAGTAGATAAGAGGTATTTACATTTCTGTGTACCAAACTTGGATGTAGGCTTACTGTATGTCCAGGAGAACTGAAGTTTTAAAATATGTGAATAAAAGTAATAAACCTGATGCAAAAATGCTGAAGGAAAGTTTGTGAAATAGAATCACAGGCAGATGAAATAATAAATTCTTGAAATAGAATAATTTCTGTTGAAAGGGGCTTCTGGAAGTCATCTTATCCAGATACCTACTAAAGCAAGAGTAATGTAGATAAGGTTGGTCCAGCCTTTAACACCTTTCTAGGCAATCTGTGTTTACATTTGACAGCAGTTACAGTGATTTTTCCTCCCTCCTTTAAACTAGTTGGAATTTATTTTCTGGCTTGTGTCTGTTGTCTCTTGTCATGTCATGGTGCACCATCCCAAGAGTCCAGGTCTCTCTTCTGTGCCCTTCCGTGAGAGAGCTGATAGCAAAAAGGATTCTTCAGAGCTCTTTTCTTGCCCAGACTGAACAAACTCAGCCCCACAACCCCTCCCTGTACACCATGTGCTCCTGCCACCTGCCCAGCTCGGCCAGCTGGACGTGCTGCAGAGTGTCCGTGTCAGTGCTGTACCAGGGAGCCCAGAGTGGGCACAGCACTGCAAACACAGCCTCACAGGCTGAGCCTCGCCTGCACTCCTGCAAACTGCGCAGGCTGTGCTCACCTGCCTTTGCTGCTGACTTGTTTTCAGTTTTGCCTGCTGGGATCTCCAGGTTCTTTTCTGCAGAAGTCATGTTTTATCTGGGTCGTGTCCAGCCCATCTTGTCACAGGGGGTTGTTCTGTTGCTGACCAGGCACTTGCCTTTGTTGAACTTCACGAGGTCTTGCCAGTGCCTTTCTCCAGCCTGTCCCAGTCCCCCTGAATAGGAGCCCTGACCACTCCCCTGGTTTGGTGTCACTGGAAACTTGCTGAGGATGCACCCTGTCCCATCATCCAGGTGATTAATGGAGACCTGGGATGGTCCTGGTGGTTTCAGTGGTGATGCTCAGGGGATGTGACTGTAACTGCTTGTACTGGACCTGGCACTGCTGATGCCTGTTCCTTCAGCCCGGCAGTCCAGTCAAATTCCCGAACACCTTATTGCTCACTTACCCAGTGCCTGTCTCACCAGTTTGGCTGTCGGGATACTGTGGGATACTCTTGTTAGTGGCCTCCTGTATCCAGTGCTCTTCCATCATCTGCTAAGCCAGTTGTCTCCTTGCAGTAAGCTCTTGTGTCCATCAGGCATCGTTTGCCCTTGGCAAATCCATGCCAGCTGTTCCCCATCACCTTCTTGGGTAGGGATAGCTTCCAGAAGAATTTGCTCCATAATCCTCTCATGGACTTAGGTTAGGCTGGCTGATGTGTAGTTGCCTGGATCCTCCTCTTTGCTCTTCTTGAAGTTGGGTGTGATGTTTGCCTTTTTTCCAGTCAAAAGAAACCTCTACCAGTATCAAGGCCTTTAAAAAAGTGGTAGTGTGGTATCTCAGTGACGTTGGCCAGCTCCCTCAGGATTCTTAGGTACATCCCATCTGCTTCTGTAGAATTTCCTGACGTGCTTCCAAGCTTCATCTTCCTCCCTTGGAGGTAATTCTTTACTCCAGCAAAATCTGCTGCTGGGCTCAGGGGCCTGGGGGGCTTGTGAGTGGACCTTACAATGAAAACTGGGGTAAAAAAGGTCTGAGTATGTCAACCTTTTCCATGTGCTTTGTCACCAAGTCCCCTGTCCCACTGAACAGAGAGAGGTTCTTCCTTAGGCTTTCTGCTGCCACTGCAGTGTTGTGTCAGTTTTAGCTCCAGATGGATGTTGATTTTTCCTAATGCCATCCTTGCACACACAGCCTGTGCCTCTGGGTTCCTCTTGGGCAGCCTCTCCTGCACCTGCCTCCTGGGTGCCTCTGAAGCAGAGACCAAAAGTTTCGTATCTGTAAATGTGTAAAACTTCAAAATTGGTTGAAGTTGTGGTTAATAAGTGATTCTAACTCAGCAGGAAATCAAAGATGTCACTTCCCCCTAGCAAGAGCAAGCATTATCAGGCTCTTGTGATAAGGGGTGAGTCCTGCCTGAGATGTCGAGTGCAAGTTGTACTTCGGTGCCAAGGAGACAAACAATGAGAAAAACAAACCACACGTCTTTTCTTTTCCTTTTTTTCATCACTAAAATAATTAACTCCAAGTAGAAATTTGGAGCTTCAGTGTGTGCCCTTCCCTTTTTGTGCATTGTAGTTGAAAAGGAGGTGTTGATATTTAGCAGCAAGATGGGTGGATAAATACTTAATGCAGTCTGTATCTAAGTGCTTTCAGTTGGGATTAATGTAATTTTTTTGGTTGTTGCATAAATCCAATTTAGAAATCATTGGAATAAACCAAAATTTTGGAAATTGAAGCATTTTTTTATTGAAGAAAAATAAGGGAATGAGTTCTTGAGTTACAATCTGTGTAAAGAATCTGGAACAAAGTTCTTGGTTGGTATAAACCGTCAGCATGTGCTTGATGCTGCCTGCAGTTCCCTAACTAGTGTTTGTATTGGGATTTGTGGTGTTCTGGTGACAGTGGTACCAAGGTAAACCTTTGATTACAGTCACTGGTGTGGCTGTCCTTTCCAAACAGGGCTTTGCTATCTGTTTGGACTAAATATAAACTTTTTAGCATGACTGGGAGTTCTGAGTTGGTTTCTAATATAGCAGAAAGATATTCAAGTGGAGTTACATTTTTATGCAAAACAGTGCTCCAT